AGAAAGGTGCATCTGGGCTTCTCTTCTCCTCTCCTTTTGCTATCCTTAAGAATATGTCCCTCTTTCAAGGATACCCATTGAAGCTGCAAACGTGACATCTCCTTAACCTCTGACCTGGAACAAAAAACCAATCAAAACCATCTTCACCAAAAAAACCATCAGGGTTGCTGCTCTCATTTAGAGAGGACATGTTAGAATACAGGAGGGGGCAAGAAGAGGCTGGCAGCATTGGTCCAGGGCCCAGCGATGGTCATCCACTTCTCTGGAATGGATTGCTTTTGACTTAGCTCTCGATGTCCAGGAGCAAAACTGTGGGATGTTTCAACTGAAGAGTAATCTGGTTCCTTGCTTTCTACATAGAATGCCTAGTAGTTATTGGCCCAGGTGGTTGAGCCTGTTTGTCCTCCCCAAGTTGGAGCAAAGCAATTAGTTGATTACTCAATGAGAAAGCAACAGTGCAGCGTTGGGTATTTATAGCAAAGAGGCTACCTAGAGAGATTTAACATGATGGTGCATGTTTTACAAATCTTCAGTTTTATTGAATGATGTGGTCTAGAAGATTTCAAAGGAACAATTGGTTACTTATATAATCTGTTCACTTTGACAGTGGGAGAATGGGTGGGACAAATAGAAGAATGGAGAACAACTGCAGATCTGGTTTTTCTAAAGTCACTTTCCTCTCAATTTATTCTGACCTGGTGGTGTCAGGGCTTTTTCTTTTTTCTTTTTTTAATATGATACCAGTTTTCAACTGGGAATTATCCCTTAGAAATCAAAGCCCATTGTAAACTCACCAGACCTTCAAATAGACCTTGCTTTGAGTTTCTAAGTGCAGGCTCTAAACCACTGGCAAGGTGTCTGGGGTCAGGCAGCAGCTTTCCCTTCCCAGGAACGTCTGTCACTGGGTCTTTATGGGGACACCCTGCATCTCCTGAAATCCCAATTGCCACCTAGGTATGAGACAACTTCAAGTGATGATTCCAGCTCGGATGGAAGCTCTTCTTCCGAGTCAGATGACGAGTGTGACACCATTGGGTTTCCTCCTGAGGAAGAGAAGGAGGAAGAGGAGGAGGAGGAGGACGACAACACTCGGGGAATGGCGGAAGGGCATCACGCAGTTAATATTGAAGGTTTCAAGTCTGCCAGGGTGGAAGATGAAGTGCAGGTTCCAGAATGTGAACCTGAGAAGGAAGAAATCAGAGAGAGGTGTGGTACATTCCCCTCCCCTCCCTGATTCCTCCCATGAGTGGCGTGCTTGGGCAATAGAATTAACTGGTTCAGGTAGTTTGTAACTGTATCTGTGTATTTAGTCTTAATCTGTGTCTCAGAAGCATGTACATCTGGTCAAGGTACTAGTGAATACAAGTGCAGGGTTTGGTGTCTTTCCGATCTCTTAGCACAGCGATGAGAGTGGCTTAGTCGCTAGTCTGCTTGCTGGACTTTGGTAGCTCTTTGCTGTCTAGTTTGGCGTCTGGAGCTGCTGTCCACTATAGCATCCATTGTTCGAACACATCACCGTGTATACAAAGACATAGCTGACCTTTCTGATGACCAACACTCTGTTTAAGATTTCAGCTTTTAATCTTGATGCAAATGACAGACTTGTTTATCGCAGTACCATTGTGTATGAGAAGAAAAAGTTTAGCCTCAACCAAAAATGATTAACTGGAAAGGTGATGTGTGTCAGTCACACTCTCAGTTTTATTGCTTGTTGAGTGACAAGGAACACAGTAGGTGTGGGACCATTATATGTAATCCCACATGCTCTGGTTGGCTGGAACACGCACCTTAGAAATGGGTTGAGTTTGCGACATCACTAGTAAGGGTGGACTTTTCACTTATAAAATGAGGAAAGATGGAAACGTCAGTGTGCTTTTTCACTCTGTAAAGTATAAATTGGAACATTTTAGCAAATACTCTGTTACATTTATTAAATAGAAGCTCATTGTCAACACAAGGTAAGTGTTTGCAGAGGGTTTGATATGTCTTCTGAGTTTCAAATAGCTTTATTGAAATAGTTACAATGTCATTTGATTTTTGGCTTTTCGTATGTGTTGGACAAACACTTGAGTACTAGAGATGAGTTCAACATAATGGAAATATAGTAATTTAAACCTCTTTAGCTCCTTAAGAGTAAATGTATATAAACATATACATATATATGTATACACACACATATACATATGTTGGGAACAAGATCTTACTGTGTAGTCTTGGCTACACTGAAATCCACTATGTAGACCACGCTGGCTTCAAACTCAGCGATCCACTTACCCCCAAGCACTCAGAGTAAAGGCGTACGTCATCACACCTGGCCAAGACAATAATTTGAAGCACTTACAATAAAAGGAATAAAATTTTTCAAATGTTATTTTGTAATGTCCTAAAGGCCAGAGCAATGTATCTGGAAGTCACGCTTTTGCCAAGACCTTCATTGCAGAGGTACTGGCTTTATGTGGTGATGTCAACACCATCCAGTCATCATGACCTGCCTAGGCTGGCCCATGGCCCTGGTTGTGGGCTCTGAGAGAAAAATCACTTTTATTTTATGGCATATACTGAGTTTTGTGGGGTTTTTTTTTCCTCTTTAGGTATGAATTAAGTGAAAAGATGTTGTCTGCCTGCAACTTATTGAAATATAACATAAATGACCCCAAAGCGTTGGCCAGCAAAGATATGGTAAGTCTGTGTGATAGGAACAATCCCCCCCAAGGCCCCGGCTATGTAGCATCACCCCGGTGCAGCATGGTCAGGAACATGGTAGCCTGCCCCTGAGCCATGGTGCATGCTTCTCTCTGAGCCACTGACTTCTAGCGTAGCCGGCAGGATGAGCTCGTACTACCCAGCTCCGAGAATATACCTCTTCCCTGAGGCCCAGTGTCCACTCCTTTACCCACCTTGTACTTTCCTTGTGGTGAAGCCATCTGGGACGCACATACTTGGCAGAGAGAAAGAGAAGGCTAATTGCAGGCAATCTCCTTCCCTCTCCATGTTCTGCTTCTATCTACAGAACCCTCTGACCCCAAGAGCAGCATCCCTGAACATTTTAAAAGGTAGGCGTAGTTTTTAGAAGAAACTTATCTGGGCTGAGGTCGGCATTCCTTTCTGTTAGGAAAGTATATATTAGGTTCTGGTGTGGATTGCCAACGGCCACTATTTTTAAACTGCACTGTCATTTCACAGCTGGGTAAATTCAGTAGCAGGTAGTGTGGGGGCTGTGGTTGTCTAACTGGGCAGGAATAGCACAGACAGGACATGCAGGTACTGCTGGGGCAGCAGCTAATCTGGTGTGCTGCCGGGTGATTCACTCCTGCACTGACAATTGGATCTGTAGCTGCTTGACCCAATCAGGCCTGTGATTGGTAGCTCCATCTTCAGGGTATTGTGAATATGTGGCTTCTCGCACTAATTTGATAATAACCTGGATCTGAGTCTTTGTGTGTCAGCAGGTTTAGTTCATCTGGGGCTGAATCATCTGAGTCCGTTGCTGCTGCTCAGGTGGCTTACAAGGCTCTCGAGAACCACAGGAGACCTCAGGAGTTAGATAATCCTAGAAACATAGCTGGAATCCCATGGGCCTGGCACGGTCTGTTAAAAGCTGGCTGTGGCTGTCATAGGCCTGAACACAGACAAGTACACAGGGACATGTGCCCATTTGACCTCACTAAGCCAAACCCAGCTCCAGTATCTGAGGCCATGAGAGATGAGTCTCCGGGGCCTACAAGATGGCTCAGGAGAGTGAGTAAAGATGTTTGCTGACAACCTGACAACCTGAGTTTGATCCCCAGGACCCATGCTGTGGCAGAAAACAACCAACATCTTCAAGTTGTCCTCTGACCTCCACATATACTTGTAACGTGCCCACACACAGTAAATAATAAATATATAAAAACAGTCTAAGTATCTCTAAGTAGCAGCTACCATGTCAGACTACTAGTGTTAGACTTAGATTGTCCCAATTTGCTCTGTGAGACAGCACCTCACAGTGTAGCTCACATTGGCCTGGAACTTGCTCTGTAGTAGCCTTGGCCAGTCTCAACTGTCAGCCTGGTGGGGTAGAAGAGTCAGAGTTAGTCAGTCTGGGTCAGGAAGCAA